TGAGTACCACAGGTTTGTAGTATGTAGCAAAATTTTGAGAGGTGGAGAACAGAATGCAAAAAAAATATGAGGAAGGAGAATAAAGTACAAGTAACAGGAGGAGCTGATGATAAACAAAGCAAAAAATTTTTTAAATGAGTTTTAAATGAGAGAGAGCTCATAATGTGAATGCTCATGTCTTGGGGTTTGTTGTATATTATACAGAGTTCATATGAGTCCATAAGCATTACAGTTGTATCGAAACTCTAATATGCATATATATTACATTATGTTCTGAGAGCCAATTCATACTTCTAAAATGTGGGTTTTCATGCAAGAAACGGGAATGAATTTATTGGAGAAAGCTCTTGTTCAGAGTTTCCATGTTTGTTACAAAAGAATCTTTACAATTAAAGTGCATGCACCATCACAAATAGCATTGCAAGTGGTGTTTTTTTTTTTTTTTTAAATTAAGGGCACTTTTTTGTGTCCGTGTTTTAAAAGTAAACTGCAGCTATAAGAGATCAGAACAATGTTCAGTTAAGAAAAGGAATGCATGATTTCAAATTACAAGTTCAATGGACTATAATTGTACTTGAATATTCTTCTCTTTTCAAATTCAGTTTACACTTGGCAGCATTATGTTGCATTATTGGACAGAGTATGGGGGGGGGGATACAGCTGTGCAAGGAGAGAAGCTAGAGACTTACTTTTGTTATTAAGTGAAAGCTGGGAATTCAGAGAACCTGCTTAAACGATCATTACATCACTATAGCATTATACTGATATTTTTTAAATAAGGGCCTTTTAAAAGTAAGGGAGTGCTATGAGACCACCAGTAACAACACCAATGACGACAGCACCTTCCCTTGAAAATCCTCATTATTTAAGCCACATGTAGAAGATAAAAAAACTCACTCCACAACTGTAAAAATGCACAGGGAGGGCAGATGTACCCAAGAACCCTGCCCAAACTGATTCCAGTGCTTAGTTGTGGATTGACTCCTAACAAAATCAGGAGTAACTCCAGTGTGCAGCAAAAGATCTTGCTTTCATTTAAAACAAAATCTGCCTTTATATAGGAGGCTGGATTCTTCAGCCAGTACTAAACTCTTTGCTTGTGCAGAGTCCAGTAATACATAATTCTTGTCTCCATATCCTAAACACATTAAAACTCTGCAAACTGATATTGATTTGATTTATTTAGTTGGATTTATGACCATCCTCAACCCACACACACATATTGAGTGGGCAAAAGCATATTAATTATTCTACTTTACCATAGCTATAGGAGCTGTGGTGGCTCATGTGGTTAAGACGCTGAACTGCAAGTTGTGGAAGGTCAGTAGGTCAGCAGTTCGAGACCCGGGTGCCACATGACGGAGTGAGCTCCCTTCTCTAGTTCCAGCTCCTGCCAACCTAGCAGTTCGAAAGCAAGAAATTGCAAGTAGATAAATAGGTACCACTTCGGTGGGAAGGTAACAGCGTTCCGTGCACCTTGGTGTTTAGTCATGCCGGCCACATGACCAGGGAAACGTCTTCGGCCAGCGCTGACTCTTTGGCTTTGAAACAGAGATGAGCACCGCAACCCTAGAGTCGGATTCAACTGGCTTTCGAGTAAGGGAACCTTTACCTTTTACCTTTACCATAGCTATAGCTGTCAAAAGCTACTGTAAGTAAAAATACCTGTCTGGGGTGGGACCTTCTCCCAGACTTACCCAAGCCATTGTAGGTGGCCATGACCCCATCCCCACCTTAAGACTGCCAACCATTCCTATGGCCACCCCAGCAGCAAGGAGCTTTCTGCAGCAGCCTGCCAGCCCTGACAGCAAGAGGGCCAGTATCGCTTGGCCAGGCAATGCATAGCTCCTATACAACACTGAGCAGCCCCTTTAAGGAGCTGCCAGCAGCACTGTAGCTGAGCCAGACCAGCTAGACTATAAGGCAAATGGGGAACAGGGAACAGGGAAGGCTATTCAGCATGCACATAATTAAGTCTGGCTCATATAATGGGTCAAACGGCAGGCCAGGGAGGAGGCTCCAAGTCTTCTCCTGGCTGCAGAGGAGACACTTGGTAAGAAAGGGACAACTACAACAAGCAGTTAACACCTCACCTCTCTGCAGCGGGAGGCCTTTTGCTGGGCCTGGGGTGGACAGAGAAGACAAAGCAGTCACAGACCTCCTCTAGCCCCATAACAGCCCTTTCTGAAAGAAGGACATGTTTTTAGCATACCTTACTCTTGATTTTCTGGGCAGTCAATCCACAAGCATTTGAATGTTCGGGTACAGTTCTTCTGCACATCTGCCCTCCGTCTGCATTTTCACAGTTGTGGAGTCAGTTTATTTTTTTCTGCACATGTCCTCAATAATGAGGAGTTTCAAAGGAGTGTGCTGTCGACATTGGTGGTATCATCAGTGGAGTCACAGAACCCCCTTTTAAAAAATGGCACTAAAATATCACTGGAGAAATGTAACAATAGGCTTAGCAGGTTCTCTGAATTCCCAGCTTGCATTTAAAAAAATTAAGTCTCTAGCCCTTTCCCTTATATAGAAAAAGGCATATGTCCAAAAGGAAAGAACATAGAGACTTATTTTAAAAAGAAGAAGAAGAAAAAGAAGCTGGGAATTCAGAGAACCTGCTAAACATATTGTTGAATTTTTATCAGGCCCAATAGACCCAAACCAAAAAATAACGATTTAAAAAATATTGCACAATTCTAGTGGAATTACCAGTCTCCTCCCACCTTCACAGAATCACAGTTCCTAGTCAGAAACAATGGCCACAGTTTAAGTCTGCTGTGTAGATGTGCACTGTGTAGACTCTGAACCACAGTATTGTGTTTCTAGACCAGCTGGAAAATAATAATAATGATGATGATAATGATGATGATGATGATGATGATTTCTTTAAATACCTTCTAATTTCATGAATTAGTAACTGCTGAACTTTTTATTACAAAGTCATCTACATGAAATAAGTGCTGGGTTGTTTAAAACAACTTTGCTCTTTGTAGAGCCACCATCTATTTGCTTAAGGCAGTGTCTATAAAACTTTCTTACTTTTTCTCCTACAGATGTCAGTTCAACTAGAAGTACCAACTTAGCTGTTCTGTTTTTGGTGGGTTGAGGAAGCATTCAGTCACACAAACAATTAATGCTAATAATGCTAAGATACAAGTATTACTCAGGAAGAAAAATTCCAATTTATTACTCTGGAGAACTCTATTCATGATAATACTTCAAAAGATCTCTGACATTTGTCACTAAAATAATCTGTGAACAGTAAAAAATCCACATTGTGCCATGAAGCTCACCTTAGGCTAGTCAGCCAAGACTACCTCACAGGTTTCAGAAAGATTAAAATGAATGGAAGGGCAGGGTAAAACTATAATAATAAATATGAAGGAAATATGAAGGAAAGCTGTGCTGGCGACAATTCACCTACTCTCTTATTGGCCACTGGGGAAGCTGTCTTGGTGTCCTATTGGCCCATCCTGCCAGCTCCTCCATTCCTACACCCTCACTTTTGATGCGTTGCACTTTGGGAGTTGTAGTTCTCAGTGGGCCTTACTGCAACCATAGCAAAGGCAAGTAGAGCTACAACTCCCAAGTTGGGAGTCCCAAGTGGCCATGTCAGTTAACTGTTAATCAGTTAAAGTGTTAAACAGGAAGCAGCTTTGGAATTGAAATGCATTGGGGGGAAAGGGAAGGCCTGGACATCTCTCTGAATTATAGTTGATCTCCAGACTGAAGTCCTTCAACAAACCTGGCCCTCCACTTAGTATTGCCAATCTCCAGGTGGCACCTGGAGATCTCCAAGATCAGTTCTTCTGGAGAAAATGGCTGCTTTGGCCTGTGGACTCTATGGCATTATACCCTGCTAAGGTTCCTCCCCACCCCAAACCCTGCCCTCCTCAGGCTCTACCCCTCAAATCTACAGGTATTTCCCAACCCAGAGTTGGCAACCCTGTAACTGGCTACAGAATTGCTTTCCAGACCCTTGAAACCCAGAAAACATGGCATAGGAGGAGGTGCTTTTTTTCCTTAGCTGCAACTGCATAACCCCAAATCAACGTAAGTCAGGGGTGGAGGTAACCATACCTGTTACCATGAGGCTGTCCTCCCATACTACCCACTTGGGGCAGCAAAATGACTTGAGACAGCCCCGCCTTATAGCTAAGCAGAAGGAAATAAACGTGGCTCGCCGCCCTCTATTTTCTCCTTCCCTCTGTTGCCCCACCAGCCACAGCCGGGACACTTATCTGGAGCCTCTTTCTAGAGCTCATTGTATTTCTCACCACAATGGGCCTTACTCCTAGTAATAAATAAAAGATGAAAACAAAGCATCCCTTCTTGCAGGCCACCCAAACAATTTATTGTAGACATTAACAGGTTATTGAATGGGTATGTCATATTAATCCCTGTTACAAGATCTACCTCATATGTCTAATTGTTCTGTCATCCCGAGACAAACTGGATCCCTTTTCATTTTACTTATTTACTTATCCCTTTTAGTTAAATATACTAACAATTTATGGCCACAGTTTTGAAATTATTTAACAGGATTTATACTGCAGTCAGTGAGAATATGTACTCTTAACTCTGCAGCTGCAATTGGCTAAAACTGGAACATGTGATTTTTGTTTTACTAATTTCTTCCCCTACTCCAAGTTCCAAGATTGGGGAAGGGTTCCACACAAAGCCTCTGCAAATGGTAACTGTCAAGTAATTGGACCAGTTTCAGAAGCATAAAGTCTGCAAGTGGTACGCTGTGTAAATTACTCGGCATTTAAAATACATTATCTTGGTTTCTTACTCTTTTTTTAGGCTCAGCCATATCGAGTTATACAGAAAAATACCATAACTAAAAGTGCCGTTACAAAAACATAGTTTATAAACACTTTTTAATTACACCCCTGGGCACCATGAGCTCTGCTCAGCATGCTTGCACTAAAAATAGAACTGGGGGGGAAATGAATATGAAGCATAGACCATGAAAAGGCTGAATTATTTTTACTTACTTTTATTCCAGAGAGGAGTTGCCATTGCTTTCTGTAGTTCTGTAATTGGCTGAAAGGGTCACATGATCTTATGAACTAAAATAGAAAAGTCTCAGCAGAGGGCGACCGAAGCAGCAGAAGATGGAAGATGGAAATAGATTTGAAAATATGTAACACACATAAGCTACACTGCCATGTACAGTCTGCAAAATAAAATATAGGTTCTTTCATATGAAAAAGGGGCACTCACTGTATAAAAATTCACCCTTTAAGTTTCCACTAAATTTGAGTTATAGATTTTTTTTAAAAAACACACACAGTTTGTTGTTGAAGTGTTACAGTTGTTTATTAGGCCTTTGCTCCTCTGATCCATCTGATTTACCATCTAGAGTTGCCAGTTCTGGATTGGGAAATCCCTAGAGATTTGTGGGTGCAGACTAAACAGAATGGGGGCTGGGGAGGGAAGGGACCTCAGTCGGATACAGTACCATACAGTACAGTAAGGTACAGTACCACCCTCCCAAGGTGCCATTTTCTCCAGGTGAACTGATCTCTGTAACCTGGAGATCAGTTGTAACTCTGGAGCTCTCCAGGCCCCACCTGGAGGTTGGCAGGCCTACTTCCCTCCCAAATGACATGGGCTAGAAGCACCACTGTTTGCATTTTTATATGTAGGGAAAACATGAGGTTCAGTTCTCAAGTGTTAGTTTTATTCAAGTTGGCAGGGGTCGTTTCGTAGAAAAAGAACTAGGGGAACTCATTAGCATAATTCATTAGCATATGCCACACCCCCTGACATCAGGGACCCGGCGGTGGACCTGCAAGGCCAGCGGGAGTGCGAGGAAGCCCCGCGAAGGCCCTCCCTGGTCCCAGGCAGGCAGGGGTGGGGAGAGGCGGGGAGGAAGCAACTTACCCTCCCTCTTCTCCTGCCTCCTCCTGGCTGAATGAGGGCTGGAAGCAGGGCGGCCGGAAGCAGGGGGCGGGGCTTCGTCATGTAGCCTGCCCCCCTGCACCTCACCCGGGGGAACTGCGATCCCCCGCAATCCCCCACGAATCGACCTCTGCAAGTTGGTGATTTCTCTGGCACAGTAATACTCTTGAATGGGTAGCCATGTTGGTCTGAAACAGCAGAACAAAGTTTGAGTCCAGTGGCACCTTCAAGATCAACAAAGTTTAATGCAAGGTCTTAAAGGTGCCACTGGTCTCAAACTTTGTTCTACAGTAATACTCTGTAGCTCTTTTGATGTGTCCCTTGCAGCTCTCCAATGTGGCACCCACCCCATGGTCCAGGAAAGCGGTAGGGCCACTACCCTGCAGGGCTTGTGGCTGGCAGGAGGTTCCCACCTTGAAACAGCCCCTGCCAAAGAGACCAGAGGACAGGTAATTTGCAAACTTACCTGAGTTGTGGGTCTCATGCCCAGGATAGAAATAAAGGGCCTTCTCAACCACCCCTATTTCTCCATAACCTCCAGGGTTTTATCCCAGCACCTGGATGGCTAGGGTTGCCAGGTTTGAGTTGGGAAATACCTGGAGATTTGGGGGATGGAGCCTGAGGTGGTAGGCTTGCCAAGTCCCACCGAGGGGTGGGGAAACCCCCGCCCCAGAGGTCCGTTCCCTGCCGCTGGTGGATCAGGCCCCGGGGGGAACTCCACCCCCACGTGCACGTCATCCAAAAGTGACGCGGGTACGCTGGGCATGCTGGGGGCAAGGCCATGGTCATCCGAGGGAAAACTCTATGGTGCCCGGAGTACCCGCGTCACTTCCGGGTATCCCCTCCTCAAGATGCCGGCCGGGAGTCCCCCGCTGCAGTAAGTTTCTGACTTGGCAACCCTATGAGGTGGGCAGGGTTTGGGGAGGGGATGGACTTAAGTGGGATATAATGCCATACAGTCCACCTTCTAAAGTGGCCATTTTCTCCAGCTGAACTGATCTCTGTTGCCCGTAAATGTATTTATTTATTTATTTAGTTAGTTCAATTTATATCCTGCCCGTGAGCAGGCTCAGGGCAGCTAACAACAAAAAAGTTACAAAACCATTAAAACCAATTATAACAGTACAATAAATTATTTAAAACATTAAAAGAGGCAAACCGATACATTCCTTCATATAGTTCCAGCAATGCTAACTGGATGACAGAACAAAGATGGAATGGGCAGATATAATAGGGCAGTTTTCAACAAGGGAGACCACATGGTTGGGCGTCCACCACCTCAAACTAAGGCCTGCTGGAACAGCTGCATTTTACAGGCCCTGTGAAACTGTAGTAAGCCTCACAGGGCCCTGATCTCAAACAGGAGCATGTTCCACCAGGCAGAGGCCAGGGCAGAAAAAGCCCTGACCCTGGTCGAGACGAAGTGGATGTCCTTTGGGCCAGGGACAACGAGGAGATGCTGGTCAGCTGAACACAAGGCTCTCTGAGGGGCATATGGGGAGAGACGGTCAATTAGATATGTTGGTCCCAGGCCACAAAAGGCTTTAAATGTTAATACCAATACCTTGAAATGGATCTGGTACTCAGCTGGTAGCCAGTGCAATCGGTGTAACACCAACCCACACAGATGTTGCAGTCATCAGAGGTGCCACCGCATTTTGCACTAGCCGGAGTTTCCAGATCAGATTCAAGGGTAAGCCTGCATAAAGCGAGTTACAGTAATGTAACCTGGAAGTGACCGTTGCATGGGTCACTGTAGCCAAGTCCTGGGTGGAGAGATAAGGAACCACCTATGCTTCTCATTTGCCTTGAAATCCCCTTGCTGGGGTTGCCATAAGTCGGCTATGACTTGATGGCATTTACGTATGTATTTATGCGTGCATGCTTTTGATGAGATGATGCACCAGACATGCAGAATCATGTGGCTCTGTTGGTTGATGGGAATTGTGAATGTGGCTCTCCATAAGCCAAGGATTGATTAGTACCACTATCAATTTTCTGTAAATTGCTAGGTCCCTCACAAACAAAATATCTAATTTCTCAGTTAAAGGTTTTCACATCTCAATCATTTTTGTTAATAGAAGGGAAGGCATATAAAAGAGAGATATCATTTCGATATAATTTACAAAGCTAATGCACATTCTTTCTTGCACTGAAATTCCAAATACTGTTACAGATCTAGAAATTATGTAAATAGACAAAACCCAAAGGATCACAGACCTTTAGTTCTTTTGACATACAACCAAATAAATCCAAATAGGTACATAACACAAGACACTAATTTCTTTATCAAAGTATTCAGAAAATCAGCTTGGCCTAATTTCTTCTTTTAAAAGATTCCATCTGGCTAATAGTTTAGACTAGACTAATATTCTTTTCTTATGATAGATTTTTAAAATATGTTTCCTGTTTATTTCAGCTCCTTGCTCAAATTGCTGCATTATCAAATTTATAAGATGTAGATTACGACCAAGTTTTCATAGGTTTGTCCTTTAGATGTAATCAAATGAAATTAATGATGCGCAAGTATTTTCCGAAAGGAAATAACAACGAAGTATTCTAACACTGGGTTAGAATGATTCCCTTCTACTAAGAATTTATTTATTTATTTATTCAATGTATACCCCGCCCTCCCTGCCGAAGCAGTCTCAGGGCGGCTTACATAAAGAATCTTCAACTGTTCCTTCCTCCAACAGATGGAATCCTCTCCTCCTTCCAAGAGAAATCTCCTTCTTCCAATCGAAGTCTGCTCCATTTGGGAAAGCAACTATCAGATCCAATCCAATTGCTACATCTCAATCGTGAAGATCTATTGTGTCTGAAGTAACATATTTGTGCTGTCTTTGGGTTCCTTTGACTGTCCTAAATCAGATGCCACAACAGCTTCACTTATCTGAGCAGGGTCTTCTGCAGGTGCCACCTGCGCATACACATGCATTCTCTTTTATGGCTCCCTACCTCGTGGAATGGCCTGCCCTAAGGAGGTCAGGGAGGTCCCTGCAGTTCTGTCATTCCATAAATTATATAAGCAAAATTCCTCAGGAGGGCATTTTTATGAAGGAAACAGAGCAATATTATAACAAAATGACCCAGGAAGGTTCTTTTATGGATTGAACAGGATTATGGACTCAACCACTGTGTACAGTATGTGTTACTAGTTTGCTGTATATATTATCCTATTCTTACTGCATTGTTTTTAGACTTATGTAACAATGTTTTCTGCATTGCCCAACACATCGTGCTTTGTTTCAGATTGCTGAAATCCCAGTCCTATTATACGGCTTTTCATAAATCTCATCCTCTTGGTTGCATTAACTTACACTGTGTGATATGCCTTGAGTCTCAGTGAGAAAGGTAGGCTATGAAATAAATAAATGACTGGTTATCTACTTACAATAGGAAAAGCATGGGTGCAATGACATGGAGGGGGGGCTGCATTTATACAGTCCTGTAACTGTCCCATGTCACTGTCCTAGAAATCACCACAGCCATTCGACTCACACCTCGTCACATTAAAATGGTTGTGTGAACTGGTAATTAGTGTCCTTTTCAATAAAGTTTCTTACATCTGGTTGCCCAAATTTTCTGCTTGCAATAGCCCTTACCTTTAAGCGTTGGTCAAGTCACAACCAATTTATGGTGACCCCAGAGGGGTCTTCAAACCAAGAAATGTACAGAGGTGGTTTGACACTGCCTGCCTCCACATAACAACTCTTTCTTCCTTCGTGGTCTCCCATCCGAGTACTACCAGGACCCTGATCTGGATAGCCCAGGTTAGCCTGATCTTGGAAGCTAAGCAGGGTTGGTCCTGGACTCCTGGCTAGTATTTGGATGGGAGACCTCCGAGGAATACCAGGGTTACTATGCAGAGGCAGGCAATGGCAAACCACCTCTGAAATGTCTCTTGCCTTAAAACAAGTCTAGCTTGCCATCTAGTGGTGCATACCACTAAAACAGCTAGAACTTCTGGCTGCCAGACAATCTTCAGATCTCCTGGCTATACTACATGCAGTGTCATGTGATAATTAATTGATCAATTAATCACTGACCAGGGCTGACCCTGCTTAGCTTCTGAGATCTGATGAGATTGTGTTAACCGGGGCTATCTAGGTCAGGGCACTTAC